TCACCTACACCGTTTGCCATCTTTATAGAGCCCTGGCACAGGCAATACGACAAGACGATAAAATTAAGGGAGTTATAGTAAATGGAGAGGAACACAAAAGAGGCCTTTTTGCAGACGATGTAGTAACTTTTCTTGAACAACCAAATGAATCGCTACCAGTGCTGATGAATCTCTTTGGAAAGTATGGTTATCTTATTCTACAGAATTAATAACAAAAACACAAATTCTAACACTCAATTACATACCAACGAAAGAAATTCAGGAATCATTTCCCATCAAATGGAATATGAAGGAAATTAAATACTTAGGGATTATCATTACTAAAGGATTCTCAACACTGTACAAAGCAAATTATGACTAAATAAGCCAAGAAATACAAAAATATATAAATAGATGGAGTACCTTGCCCTTGGATCTGAACTCAAGAATTGAAATACTTAAAATGAATGTGCAAGCAAAACTTCTATATTTGTTCCGGTCATTACCAATAGATGTCCCTCAAAGTCAGTTTGCGATCTGGGACAAGATAATATCAAGATTCATTTGGGGTGACAAAAAACCTAGAGTTAAAAATGAAACTCTTCAGCTACCGAAAGATAAAGGGGGTATGGGTCTCTCAAAATTAAGGGAGTACTTTTGGGCAGCTCAGCTCAGACATGCTATATGCTGGTGCACACCAGACTACACAGCCAAGTGGAAAGATATGGAAAAAGAGTTCGGAGGATACCCAATTCAAAGTGTTATTGGGGATGAAAATGAATATGAGAAGATCAAGAAATATATGGATCCAATTACAGTGTTTACACTGGAATTATGGTTCAAAACATTAAAAAAAACACAAGATAAAGAAAGAAATGAAAGTGCTCAGATGGGGTAGCATATGACAGCGATTTCAAACCAGCAATGTATGATAAAGGGTTCAAACAATGGATAAGCAAGGGGGTCACAGGATGGTATACCCTTCAGAAAGAGGGGGAGCTGGAGAGTTTTCAAAAATTGAAGGACAAGTAGAATTTAGATAAACGTGAATTTTACAGGTACCTGCAACTGAGAGACTATTACAGGACAGAAATCAAGTGGGGTCCCTCTGTGGAAGTGAATGGTGGGATTGAAATTGTGATAAAATCATTCAGTGGAACAAAAAATAAAATCATTTCTACTCTATACCAAAAACTGATGATGAATAAACATTCAAGTAAGTATGTAAAAGAAAAGTGGGAATCAGAACATAACATGACAATTACAGAAGAAGATCGGTCAGACATGTGGAAAACGCATCAGACATCCACCAATTCACGGATATGGAGGGAGTTCACATGGAAAAATCTAATAAGATTTTTCATCACGCCTAAAGTCAAGAATAGATATAAGAATACAAACACGGGGTGTTGGCGCAACTGTGGATCAATGAACGCAGATCACTCACATATTTTGGAACTGTCCTAAAATTGTTCAATTTTGGAAAAATGTACATGAAACTGTGAAGAAGGTTTTGGGATATGATATTCCTACGAGTAGCATGGTACTTTATCTCTGCAATTTTAACAATACCAAAGTGAGGGTAAAAGACTGGTATCCATACACCTACCGACGCAGTTTGGTCGGTGCAATAAAAGGACCTCGGTTCGGTATACAGCCCTAGTTTTTATTAGTGCCATTTTATCGGCATTTTACTGCAAATTTGATCATACATTTATTTTTAAACTCCATTTTATTTTTTTATCATATTTTTATCTAGGATGTTGTAATTCTTGTGAAGCACTTTGGTCAGCTGTGACTGTTTTTAAATGTGCTATATAAATAAACTTTGAATTGAATTTAATACTTTATTTTGACAGACGTCCTGCCGTCTGTCGGTAACTTCCTGCTGCTGACTAACATTTTCCTTTGACAGAGTTGGGCGCTCATGGCTCCTAGCACCCCGCCCCTCTTGGGGGCAGGCATTTGTGACACATATCATTCCCCGATCTGTTACGGAAGCCAATCCGTAGTGTAGCTCATTTGAGCATGTACTAAAAGGATTACTTCCGGGTCGCACGGATCATCGTTGAATATGTTAGATTAAGGAAAAAGTACTGGTACAAGTACGTTTATGAATAAGACTGTCTTAATTTACTTAGAAAATGATGTGCTCTATCTCCGCCGATTTTCTTGTTGTTGCTAATTTACGCCACTCGTATTTCAAGGGCTGAACGATATGGCCAAAACTTTTATCACGATATATTTCTTAATTTTGGTCCATAACGATATAATTCGATATCGATATAAACAATATAAAAGCCTCAGAAAAACTACAAACTATACAAATAAATTAATGTTCACCTTTTATTTGCATTTAGCCTTCAAAAACATTGAAATCACTGTCAAATAAACATAAAATGCTCAACTTTGTCAATATTAGTAGTTTTAACTTTAAACAACAACTTTAAAATTGACAGCATTGAAATTTGTTGTTAATGAAATAAACTTTTTGGACATCGTCATTGATGAGAAGCTGAGAAGCCTGAGAGAAACCTGCTCTCTGATCTGTAAAAGAACGCTGTGTTGTGTGATTTTACTGCGAGACCCTCTGGTCAAAGCCACAGACTCATTTTGTGTCAGCTCCATTAAAGCAGAAGGAGGCGCCCACTAGAGGTTGGAGGGTGAAGTGTTTCAGTTGCTGTTCATTTCTTAAGTGACAAGACTGGAAACTGTTAAGAGTTAACAACATCTTCTTTTGTTTAAAACATAAGGCTAAAACTACATTTGATATTTTTGAACTGTTTTGCACAAGAAAGAAGCCTAATACTTGATTTGTTTATTATTTAAAAACTCTCTGGACTCAGTAGTGGAATTTTCTTAATTCAAAACATTTGATGGCAAAAGGACACCCTATGCTTTTTTTTAGCAAGTTTTATATCAAAAACATATCGCGATATATCGTTATCGCCACCCTTCACAATACATATCGTGATATGAATTGTGTGCCATATCGCACATTCCTAGAAGCTAGCTTCTTCTTTTTAAGGAGGCTCATTTATGCCTGTTAATATTGACTGCACATGAAAATATAATTTGGTGTGACCGAGTATCGTGTGGTGCGACCATTTTACAGTGTTTGCAATGAAACGTTTATGTTCTTGAAGGCTAGTTTTTTGTGATTTTATATTTGAATTTAAGACTCAAATGCAAAAAAGTACTTTGTATTATTATTTCCAGAATAGGCTTTTGTACAGTTTGAGTGTTTTTTTAACAATATCATGATAAAAATACAATGGAACACGGGGTAGTTACAGTATGTATTTTGTCATTTATTGTTTTAATGTATTTTACTAGACGCCACTGTCAAGTCAAGCCTGAGAAAACCATGTGGCACACTGAAGCTGCAATCCTGAGCCATCAAAGGAATAAGCCACTCCTCAAGACTTAAGTTAACACATCAGTTTTCCAATCCATAAAAATTATTTATAGCATTTAGATTTTTATGTGATGGTTAAAAAAAGAGAGTGACAGAGGGTTTTAATTAAATCATCCTCAAACCTCACACATAAATAAAATCATAAATCTAATACAACTGACACTAATGTTACTTTGATCGCAGCAGGTCATCAGAAAGTGTAGATTACTTAACAATATTACATCATTTTATAATATCCAATGAAGTACAATTGAAAATATATTAAGGAATAACAAGCAAACAAATAAATATTACATAAATATTAATTATATAATAATAAATATGAATATTATATATACAAATATTTTATTCTTCTTCATTTCAGTAAGTGGCAGTGTTGGACAGCTGGGTCCAAGCGGCTCCAGGATGTGGTTGAGCAGCAGCTGAGTTCACAAACATTTTAAATGTGGTCTTCACAGACGTGCAGCTGCTGTCCAGGTGGAACAGGAAGGATCCACAAGATCAGCTCCACCTTCAATACAGACTTGCTTCTCTTCTGTTTTTGCATTTTAGAAAAAAGTAAAGAGTTCTGCTCTACCACAGACGAAACTGACATGGAGGTTCAACATGTTATTACAATAAAATATTTGACAAAGAGGAATGAAATGTTTTTTTACTTAAATGTTCTTTTTTGTGTATTTGTATTACTCATAAAGTAAGTAATTATTGCAGAACCTGTCAAATATTGTTCTCGATTACTCGATTAATAAAGTAATGGTTTACAACAGCCCAACTCCAGACCAGACAACACCGCTGGTCTCTCCACTGCCTTTGACCTTTGACCCTTGACCTTTGCTGACACCCTTTTGACACAAATCACTCCTGAACCTTTTCTCCATCACTCCATCCTGCCTGGACTCTCTTCTTCACCTCGTCACCACACTCCCCATGTTCCTGGACCGTGGACCCGAGTCCTTGAAGTTTAACAATTTATATTAATGTGCTTAAAGAAAATGTTGTCATTGTTAAAAACAATAAAGGGAAACTTGGTACTTTGTGTATTACCCAACAAGCAGAACCGGCTCAGATGAAGCTAACGATGGTTAGCTTTAGAATAAACACAAACATTGGGTTTAACAACACACACAGCCTCGTGCGCCTCGGTGCTACACGCGTGACGATACAGGACATGTATAAGGTCATATTGAGGTCATATTAAGGTCATATTAAGGTCATATTAAGGTCATATTAAGATGTTTCCATGTAAGGTGTAGCCAGGTTAGCAATGTTAGCGGTGCTAATGGAGGCCTGTTGGTTTCCGCTCCTTTTACTAAACTACCCCGACTATTCAAAATACTTTTACTATTTATTGATTTTAGAAGCTCTCCCGTTTTGGTTAATAACGTCGGAAAATGTGACAAAAACGACAGAATTTCTAGTTTTAATGGAAACTCTTTGCTCTGATGATTATTATTTACATCCAACAAAAGGAATGATGCATGTGTGCTTCATACACTTTAACTTTAACGACATTAGAAACCATTCTCAATCAAATCGTAGCTTTTAACCTTGTTTTGTCTTTATAAAACTAACATTAACAGTGACACAATTACATTTCACTTACCTGAAAATTAAACACCTGCACAGGCAGCGGCATCCTCTGTTGTCGGTTTGACTTCTTGTTTTAAAATGTTATTTTTCACTAAATGAAATGTAAAAATGTTATTCTTAAACTAGCTTAGCTGTAACTAAGCCGAGAGTATAACGATAGACCAGAGCCCGCTGCACAATCTGTTCCGGTCCGTCAGCTCAGTTGCGCATGCGCAGAAAGAAATACTTCCAACGAAAGGTGTGCATTACCGCCACCTTCTGGTGTGGAGTGTGGATCAAAATGGATACGTCCGCAATCATGTTTATATTCTCTTTTTTAATTTTGTGTTTCTAAAAAAATGTATCCATCCATCCATTATCTTTACTCGCTTATGCCATTTTGGGTCACGTGGGTCGCTGGTGCCCATGTCCAGCAATCACTGTGCGAGGTAAAAAAAAGTATATTAATTTAAATATTTTTACTTCTTATTTCCTTTTGTAATATATTTGTTATACTAAAAGTTTCTTTGATTTTCCCTAATTGCTCCATCATACAACTTCTGTGATGTTCATATTTCTGACAGACCAAAATGACATGTTCTTTTCTAAAAAAGTTCAATCTGGTCCTCTCGACATTCAAAAAAACAAAACAAAACAAAAAAATGTAGAAACGTTTCGTCTCTCATCCTGAGGACTTCCTCAGTCTGAGGTGCTGTTTTCAGCTCAGTCTCTTAAATAGCACCTTCTCAGAGTGGATCAACCAGTTTGCTGCTGACAACCAGAACCAGCTGATCACATGCTCAAGAAGGACCATCAGCCTAACAATGGATCATTAGCACCTGATGGCTGTTTACTATTCACAGAGGGCTGAGTGATACTAGCAATCACAGCATTGTAAGAGGGGGACAGTTGAACCCGGAGGCCTCCACCCCTGTTTAATGATGGACGGTTTCTTTTCACAAAGATGGCCTCCTTTACTCCTCTCTCAAACCATCGTTCCTCTCTGTCCAGGATGTGAACATCTTCATCCCTGAAAGAGTGACCTCTGGCCTGGAGATGAGTGTAGACCTCAGAGTCCTGGCCTGATGGTGTTGATCTTCTGTGCTGGTCCATCCATTTGGCCAGTGGCTGTTTTGTTTCTCCGATGTAAGACTGATCACCCTCCTGACACTGAACAGCATACACAATATTACTCTGTTTGTGCCGGGGGACTGGATCTTTGGGATGAACCAGTCTTTAATGTATTTTGGGGTTTAAAAGCCGTTATGTTTAGAAAATAAACGTCTCAGTTTCTCTGATTTTTTTTTTTTTCATTTAGCCTTTATTTATCCAGGTTAGTCTCATTGAGCCACAAGAACTCATTTTCAAGAGAGACCTGTTTTAGGGAGCACATGGTGGGGGTTAAGGGCCTTGCTCATGGGCCCAGAGTGGGGCGAATGAGGGTGGGGGCAAGTGTGGGTGTTTCACCTACCCCACCCACAATTTTGATATTGTCGGGGCCGGGGCGTAAACCGGCGATCTTCGGATCACAGGCCCACCTCTCTAACCTCTGCGCCACCACTCCCCAGTTTCTCTGATACTCCCTCAACATACGGAATGACCACTGGTCTGGGTCTGGGTTCCTCCTTTTCACCTGATGGCTGACTGGAGTCCTGTTTGGGTTTCTTCTCTGCTTTCAGG